CCCCGAAAAAAAAAAAAACAAAAAAAAAAAAAAAAAAAAAAAAAAAAAGTCCGGTAGAAGGAAGAAACTTGAGTCGAAGCCACGAAGAGGGAGGAGGAGGAAGAGGAAAGGGCTAGACAGAGGCTCTTCCACGGGGCAGATGATGGACAGCCAGGGCACGAAGGTGGTGGTGTGCGACAACAGCACCAGGTTTGTGAAGTGTGGATACGTAGGCTCTAACTTTACAGAACACATCTTCCCAGCTTTGGTTGGAAGACCCATTATCAGATCAACCACCCAAGTGGGAAACATTGAAATTAAGGATATTATGGTTGGTGATGGGCCAAGTGAATTATGCTCCATGTTAGAATTTAACTACCCTATGGAAAATGGCATCGTATGAAACTTGGAGGACATGAAACACCTGTAGGACTATATATTTGGACCAGAGAAACTTAACGTAGATACCAGGAATTACAAAATTTAACAGAGAGGAGATCGTCAAGGTAATGTTTGAAACTTACCAGTTTTCTGGTGTATATGTAGCCATCCAGGCAGTTCTGACTTTGTATGCTCAAGTTTATTGACTGGTGTGGTGGTAGATTCTGGAGATGGTGTAACTCACATTTGCCCGGTGTACGAAGGCTTTTCTCTCCCTCATCTTACCAGAAGACTGGATATTGCTGGGAGGGAAATTACCAGACATCTAATCAAGCTGCTTCTGTTGCGAGGATACGCCTTTAACCATTCTGCCGATTTTGAGATGGTTCGCATGATTAAAGAAAAGCTGTGTTATGTGGGGTATAATACTGAGCAAGAACAGAAACTTGCCTTAGAAACCACAGTATTAATTGAATCTTACACACTCCTGAATGGACGCATTATCAAAGTTGGGGGAGAGAGATTCGAAGCACTAGAAGCTTTATTTCAGCCTCACATGATCAATGTTCAGGGAGTAGGTGTTGCTGAATTGCTTTTTAACACAATCCAGGCAGCTGACATTGATACCAGGTCTGAATTCTATAAGCACATTGTGCTTTCTGGAGGGTCTACCATGTACCCTGGCCTGCCATCCCAGTTGGAACGAGAACTTAAACAGCTTTACTTAGAACGAGTTTTAAAGGGAGATAGAGAAAAACTTTCTAAATTTAAGATCCACATTGAGGACTCACCCCACAGAAAGCACATGGTCTTCCTGGGTGGTGCAGTTCTGGCCAACATCATGAAAGACAAAGACAACTTTTGGATGACGAGAGTACCAGGAAAAGGGTGTCCTCGTGCTGGAGAAGCTTGGTGTGACTGTCCGATAAGCTCCAAAGCTTGTTCCCCTCGCACCCTTAATGCTTTCTTTTCTCCTTTCTAGCCAATCTTTGAACTCATTCAACTCCAGGACATGGAAGAGGCCTCTCTGTGCCCTTTGACTGGAAAGGTCAAGTTTTATCCTAGAGTCTCAGGGAAGCTTTGTTAAGTTTTTGTCAATGTGGGTAAATCTGGTTAACTCAGTCACTTCCCTGCAAACACAACCCGAGGGCAAAGGGCCCAGTGTGCTGCTTTGTTTCTTCTGAGTGGGCATAGATCATTTGTGTGGGCTCGGATGTTTACTTTTACTGCTCTTCTGCTGCTAGTTTTAGTCTTTAGCACACTTGGTGGTATGCCTTTATTAGCATAAGAAAAAACTTCAACAAGGGTTTTTACATATTGCTGGGGGGTGTGGTTAGGGATGGGTGGACAGCCACTGAACCCTCTAGGGCATTTCCACAGTAGTGTGGCACTTTCAACAGTTACTGCTGCAGCTTTAAGTACCTTAGAGCTTCTCTTGTACATCTTAGCGAAATGTTTGGCTCAGAATAAAGTGTTTAGGGTGGGATTTTGGTTTATTTATTATTTATTTAATTCCATTTGTTGTTATTTTTAATTTGACCAGAGAGAGAGAAGGGGAAAGTGAGAGAGCAAGCTGCTTTGTCAAGGACTCAAACCTCTGTCAGGCATGTGGGAACCCAGCGCCTTTAACCACCACGCCACCCGCCAGTCTCTAGGGTGGGATTTTGAATGGGGTGGGGGGATGGTCTTTTGATTTCGATGTGTTGAGGTTTTCTGCTCTAGAGTATGTAAAATGAACTTTATTCACAATACTTTGATTTGGCAGATTTTCTTCTGCTTTGGATCTGCCTAGAACTGCTTCTGTTTGACATACAAAGCAAGTGCAGTACTCCATCACTTGTGGCTTGGGGGGGTATGTCTTTAATATCAGCCTTGTTAGCTGGTTCTGCATTCCCTAGAATCTATTAGTGGAAAAGTAACCTTTAATGGTGCTTCTGGCCAGTCAAATTACAGATGAAAAATATGCTTAAGAGCTGGAGTTTTGTAAATGCTGTTTATTCCAGAAACATTAAGGTAACCCATTGCCAAGTATCATTCCTAAAATGATTACTTTATATGACTGACCAGTGCTTATTTAATAAAACAGGTAGATAACGTATAAATAATTATTGGCAGGTTTTAATTGTTGGGTTACAAATAACATTGGAACATGGGACTTGTTGTCAGTTGATTAATTTCCATTCTTTTTTTGTTGTTTTGATTTGAAACCTGGAAGTGGAGTAAAACTTGACTAAAATGTAGGCAGGAAAAAAATATTTAAATTTGTGTTTGTACTGAAAAACTAATAACTGGTAATTCTTAGCCATCTTTTATGCTTGAAAGATGAGTAGTTGGTATTTTGTAAATATTAGCAAACTTTCCTGCCTGTGACAGGAAATTATATTTATAAATCTCATTGATATTGTGGGGTATCTGAAAAAAATAATATCCAGACATGAATTTTTTCTAAATTTGAAAAAAGAAAATAATGAGAAATTGTATCACACTAAGTGCAAAATACAGATTCCGGGAGAGATGTTTTCCCTTCATTTCATGACATTCTTTACTAATAATGGCTTTGAAAGAAGCAGCTACGTTTTTTGGGTGACCAGTTTCAGAAATTATTGGCTTGATAGTTTCTTTTTTATGAGAAAACTTAAAAATTAGTTTATATGAAGTAAGCAAAAAGAAAAATTAGGTTAACTATGTAGCTTCTGTTAATATTCACTGCTTTTTTTTTTTTGGAGAGAGGTTTTTGCTATAGGACACGTGCGCTTGCTGCTGGCCCCAATATTAACTGCTTTTGTCTTGTTTTACCTCAATTTGAACAAATTAGTTTGCCTGCATGCTGGCCATGCTTCAGTATCCATGAATAGCCCATGAATAATGTCTACTAGATTTTGGATTTCAAAGTCATTTTGAAATTCTCTAGTGTTTCTAAATCATGCTCTCATAAATATCCCCAGCCTTCGAGTACTGGGCTTGGTAAAAGACACATGTGTAAGACTAGTATCAGTTGGCTGCACAGTTCAGGTACAGGGACTGACTCTTTGCTTTTGGTCTTGATTTTTAAATTGGAGGGTAGAAAGCAACAAAGTAATATAATGAAAGAGTTTCAATTGTCCCTTGAATGGAGAATATGTTTTCAATCTCCTAAATCTAGCAAACAGGACAGTTAAGACAATGATTTGATATATGTATACCTTATATTTAAAACTCCTATTTATAATTTTCCTATTTCGAGGTGAAATAAGCAGTCACTTGAGGATGGCGAATGGTGGTGTTTAATTGTAGTTGTTGTCAGAGTCCCTCAGAAATTAAAATAATATTGTTTTAAACTAGATTGATCTTTAGCTCTTGAAGCCCATTGTCACTTAAATTTCCAAAAATGATTAAAATTCTTTTATTTTTAAACTGCAATTGTAATGCCTTGACTTTTGAGACGGTTTCTTAGAAATAGGATCTACCTTTAAACTTGTTTCTAAAAATTTGGTTTTGTATGTTAACATTTAAGTAGTTCTGAGCACTGTTACTATGTGGAAAATCTTTGAAAGATCAGCTAAACATTCTCAATTCAACATGAATACACTTCTTTTTGATTCGGAAAATAAAATCAGATTTTTTCAAAGTAAAAATAAATAATTGTCAAATAGTTAAAATTTTCTACTTTGAAGCATCAAGGCCCAAGATGTTCAGAAACTGTAATGGATATAGAGGCAATCGAGTTTCAGGGCTCAATTCCTAGTTAGATTCTCTTTGTCATTTCCAGGATCCAGCTGGTGACTTCAGGCTTTCTAGACTGGAGGCAGAGCAGGAAATGGAGCAGCTGAAGACCCAAGTGACTCGCCTTCAGGCAGAAAAGGCAGATCTGCTGGGTATCGTGTCGGAATTGCAGCTCAAGCTGAACTCCAGTGGCTCCTCTGAAGACTCCTTTGTTGAAATTAGGATGACTGTAAGCTTTTGTTTTTGTTTTATTTTTTTTTTAAGGAATTTTTAATTGCCAGAGGGTGCATGCATTTGCCATAGATAGAGAGTGAGAGGGAGAAAAGACCCCCTAATGGAGTGTGATTATGCCACAATCCCTTCTCCTCCATTTCCCCATCCTGTCAGTGTTTGGGGCTCCTGGGCACACATAATTTCTGATTTGGAAAGAGAATTGAAGCATGGAGTCTTGCACATAAGAGTGATGTAGGTTTCCTCAGGAGTAATCCAGAGAGGCATAGAAGGTCACAACTGGAAGGGACCATAGAAGCCATGAGGTGCCACATCTAGCACCTCATACCCAGCATGTTCTTTTTTTTTAATCGATTTTAAAATTATTATTACTATTATTATTTATACATTCAATCGCTACACATCATTTAGATTGTAAAGAGATTTTATCCAGCATGATACACATCTCATTCCAGTTGAGAATACTATCACATCCTCATCAACAGATAACAATTTCTGCATCCCACAAATATCTTATCTCTCCAGTCCCCCCCCATTTCCTTTCCTGCACTCTTCCACTCTCACACTCTCCTTCCACTTTGTCTCTAGTGTCCATAACAATTTTTAATGCTTTTATGTCTCCCAGTCTTGCACTCTCTACCATAGAGTGCAGACAGTCTGTGTTAAGTGGAGACATACAATGTCTCTCTTTCCATAGCCTGACTTGCTTCACTCAGCAACAAATCTTCCATATTCATCCACTTTTTAGCAAATTCTAAGGCCTTGTTGTTTTTTTTATAGCTGAATAATATTCAAAGAAGTATATATGGCACACTTTCAATTCATTCATCCGTTTGTGGACATTTGGGTTGGTTCCATGTCTTAACAATCGTGCTGCAATAAGTATAGTTGTGCAAACGCTTTTCTGACTGAGCAGTCTCTTCTCCTTTGGGTAGATACCCAGAAGTGTAATTGCTAGGTCTTATGGTAGTTCTATTTGAAGGTCTTTGAAGAACTTCCATATTGTTTGCCACAGTGGCTGGACCAAATTATATTCCTACCAACAATGTAGGAGTGTTCCCCTTTCACCACATCCATGCCAGCACTTACCATTTTTTGTTTTCTTAATCATTGCCATTCTAACTGGGGTTAGGTGGTATCTCATTGTGGGTTTTGATCTGCATCTCCCTTACGATGAGGGATATTGAGCATTTTACCTTGTGCTTTTTGGCTGTTCATGTGTCTTCCTTAGAGAGTTGTTCATTCAGCTCATTTTCCCATATTTTAATTGGGTTAATCATTTTCTTCCGGTAAGCTGCTTGAGTTCTTTGTGTATTCTGGTTATCAGCCCCTTATTTGAGGCACAGTTAACAAAACTTCTCTCCTATTCTGAGGGTTGTCGATTCATACTAATTATGGTGTCCTTTGCTGTGCAGAAACTTCTTAATCTGATGTAATCCCACCTGTCTATTTTGGGGATTATTGCCTGTGCTTTGGGGGTCTTGCTTAAGAAGTCTTTGCCTACCCCAATGTCTCCCAGAGTTTCCCCAGTGTTTTCCACCAGTAGTTTTATAGTTTAATCTACATGTTTAATGTAATCCCTATAAAATTACGTGAGACATTCTTCACAGATCTAGAAAAGACAATCATAGAATTTGTCTGGAATCATAAAAGATCCCGTATTGCCAAAAGCAATCCTGTGCAAGAAGAGTGTGTGTGTTGGGATGGCATCTCACTTCCTGACCCCAAAATGTATTATGAAGCTGTGATAATCGAAACAGCATAATATTGGCACAAGAACAAACATGAGGACCAATGCAACAGAGTAGAGGCCCCAGAAATAACCCCCAAAATATACAGCCGACTGATCTTTGACAAACGGTACCAGTCAATCCAGTGGGAAAAAGAAAACCTTTTTAGCAAATGGTGCTGGAAAAACTGGGTATCCACCTGCAGAAAGATGAATCTGAACCCCTATCTGTCACCATCAACAAAAATCAACTCAAAGTGGATCAAAGATCTAAACCTAAGACCACAAACTATAAAACTATTGGCAGAAAACACTGGGGAAACTCCAGCATGTTCTCTTAGGCTCCCAGGGTTAAGATTCCAGCTGTGGTTAGCCATATGGAATCTAGTTCTCTGAACTGTATGCTACTGGGCTGGCCTTTGTTTTTGTTTAAGCAAACTACAGAGCCTTGCCTGGACAGATGATACAGATACCACCTTTTCCTCTCAACAGAAGGAAGACAGATAATGAAGAAATTGCAGCAAAGATAATTTGGCTCTTTTAGTATAACATAATGCTTGTCATAGCCAAAAAGGAAAAATATCAGTTACCTTTTCTAACAAAGTATGTAGTCTTTTTATTTCTTCATTATGCTCCAGGAAGTGGCACTTTATGGGACTGACATAAACACTCACATGTGCACACACACATACACACAAAAAGCATAAACTTTATGTCATTTTCCAGACCAGGTCTCAAAGTCGTGTTCAGCAGTTCACTTAGGTGAGCAGAATTGCGATAAGTACACAAAACTCATGAGTTTTAAACACCTAATAGGATCCTCTTTTCAAATAAAGGCTATTGAGGAACCGTGAGATTTTAAAAATAAGAAGAGGATGATCCAGCCTCTGTGGCACATTTGGTAACATGCTGGAGTGTGGAGATAGAAGACACACACTGATGATGGTTTGAGGCCCCCGCCAGGATCCTGGTGGGCTGGAGGACCAGAGGAAAAGGATCATGGCATGACTGAATCCTATAGAGAGCACTTCTCTCCTCCCATGCACATGCTCTCTTTTTTTTTTTGGAGAGGTTTTTTTTTTTTTTTTTGCTATAGGGTGTGTGTGCTCACCGCCAGACAGAGAGACAGAAAGTGAGAAATCACCCCCCAGGGAATATCTTGGCTCTTTCCTTCCTTCTAGCAGCAGCTCCTCAAGAACCTCTGAGAAGTGAGTTGGAAGCCAGTTTTATCAAACTCACATTTTTGTACAACCCAAAATGTAGTGAGCTAAAAGAGGAGGCAGGTGCTAACTAATCCCTAAGCTCTTGCAGCCTCTGTTACAGCTGCATCTGGGTATCTGGGCAGTCTAGAGCAAAGCAGGCAGATAAGCCCTGCAGGGGCCTCTCCTTCATAGGGCCCCTCCTACTGCTAAGAAAAACATAGAAGGATAAAATCCTCTGAAATACAGACTGGCATTGTAACTGTCAAATTATATAGCTCAGATAGGAAAAAAAGATTTCATTGTATCTTTGGAAGAGAAAAATGTACCTTGTAGATAAGTTGGGGAGAGAGGGAAACAGCTTGCAAAATAACTGAACTACTAGATGTGTCTGAAATATTATTGAGTGGGGCCACATGGCTGACTGTGGTTCAAGTCCCAGACCTGGTGGTTTGTTAGACGTGTCTGAAATATTATTGAGTGGGGCCAAATGGCTGACTGTGGTTCAAGTCCCAGACCTGGTGGCTTACTAGACGTGTCTGAAATATTATTGAGTGGGGCCACATGTTTGACTGTGGTTCAAGTCCCAGACCTGATGGTTTGCTTTCTCACTTCTCCTCTCTTTCTCTATCTCTCTCTCTCGTGAGCACACAGACCCTATAGCAAATTTAAAATAATAATAATATTAATAAAATTTTTAAAAGAAATATTAGTGTGTGACTTTCTTTACTTTCTAATTCATTTACTACACTTAAGATTAAGAGTTAGAAAGTAGCTCTTAGTAACTTTGTCATCAGTGTTCCCTAATAAATTTTAGATGCGTCAATAGTGGCTGAAATTAAGAGTTAAAATAGCAGGACCAGCAGTTAGCGTAATGGCTGTGTCATTGAACGCCCATGTAGTCGACCACGGTTTGAGTCCTGGACCCAGTGGCTTAAACTCACACCGGGTGCGTGTGCATGCATGCCTAAGATCCCAAGAAGAGAATGGAGGAGAAGGGATTGCGGCATGGCCATCCCCCCTGGGGGGGGGTGATTTCTCACTTTCTGTCTCTCTGTCTCTCTGTCTGTCTGGCGAGCACATGCGCCCTATAGCAAAAACCTCTCAAAAAAAAAAAAAGATTAAAATAGCAATTGAAAAAGCATACTTGTTAGAGTACCCTTTCTTCAGGTGAAACATAAGTTTGATTAAAGAGCTTTTGACTTTCTGCAAATAACATAAAATTCAACAAGCCCCCACAGCATATCAAAAGTTTCCAAATGAGCCTTCTTTCAAGGTGATGGTTAGCATCCTATTTTCCCTCAGAGATGAGTGACAGTTGGAAGTATAAGCATGTTTTGCTTGGTTTCTTGTTTTTGTATTTTTTGTTTTTCTTTTTGTTTTTGTTTTTTTGCTTCGATGAGCTAGAAAACACTGCCCAAGATTTAGGAAGAATGTATCAAAAAGACAACTCTCATACATAAATTGGAACTTGCAATACAAGTTATATTTTTAAAATATCTAGAAACATCTTTGTGCATTTTCAAAGATTTTTTTCCCATTGCCTTATTGATATATAAATGTTTTCCATTCTTGTGAATCTTAGTCTTGAATTTTTTGCTCCCTAAATGGCCTGTAGTGCATACAAATTTCTAGTGAGAGTCAGCTTGGCAGACACACAGCTTTGTGAGCCTCAATTATGGAATACTGCCTATTTTTCCACTTTGCTTCAGCAAGTTCTAGCATTTTGCATCTTAAAGGACTGTATAAGAAAGGTAGTTGTCACTAGCTCTATGTGACCTTAATCTAGGGTGTGAGGGAACTGCCAAGAAGAGAGGAGAAGATAAGCTTTCATGTTATGGAGCCAGGTCAGTGAGCAGAGCCGGACCTTCACACCTTAACCTGGATATTTATAATCCTGACAGGGTGTGGGGTGGGGGGAGGGAATAGTACATTTCTGTCCCAATTGAGTGACCTAATTTAAATACTTCACATTTAAGTTTTGGTAGGTTCCTTGGGGTGCATATCATTAGAATTCTTGATTTTTTTTTTTTGTCTTTTTAAAAAATCTTTTTATAAGGACTTTGTCTTGCAGATATGTTGTGTTAACTCTTTCATTTCTGCTTTTACAGGAAGGAGAAGCAGATGGGACAATAAAAGAAATCAAGAATAGACCCGGACCCACAAGAACAGACTCTATTGACACGTATGTCAAGAAAGATGGGCTCTTAGGCAAACAGACTGGGCTATCATGTCACCTTGAGCTTGTCCCTGTGACAGGCTGAATAGTAACGTCTTACGGATTTATACTAGAACGTTTGAGGAATACTCAGTTTGAATGCTATTTAATATGCAGTCAAAACTGGCAGAGAATAAAAATGACCTTTGGTACCTTTTTAGGCTCATGCTGACCACCCTGTAATAGAAGTATCACATCTTAGTCAGATGAGAAGTAAAACAGACTTGTTCTCAATCAAATCAGGTATTGGCTTCAGGTCAAAAGATCTGCTTGCTAATTTGTTTACCAGTGCTGTTTGACCTGGGTGAGGTTACCTAGCCTCCATAAGTTAGATATTTCCATTTTCTCTTCCTTATTCATTCCCAGTTGGAAGCCAGGATGACCCATACTGGATAATCTTCTCTAGCAGTGAGAGTGTTCCCAGTCATTGTGGGTGTTGCTTAGGTGGGCCAGACTCGTAGCCTACTGGCTAAGATAGCCAGATCCCACGTGGCCAGCTGCAGTTCATAATCCTGTCCCTGGAGGCATGAAAAACACATTGGGTACATGTGCATGCACGACCAAAATCTCCACAGTAGGAAGAAATGGAGCAGGGATTGCAGTGTGTGAAAAAGTACCTGTGCCTGGGTATCTTCTCTGTGGAGGCTTGAGTAGATATGAAGAAACAGATGTCTTACACAGTGGGAAGACCTCTGAGCAGAGGCAGAAGAACTGGCACCTACACCTTTGACTCTTACAGGCAGGGCTTGCCCAGCGGAGACTATGAGTTCATGCTCTGTAGTAATAATGTAATATTAGCCCACGTAAGAGACAGTTATCTGAAAATTTCTCTCAGGAGCTCTTTCCTCTTCCCTTAAAGCCTTTTTTTCTCTATCTTGCTGAATGTGTATACAGAATGATTTATAAAACATGAGAAAGTTTTTTCTATCATGTTCCTCAGATTTTGTATAGGGAGAAAATAAGTAGTAGATAATATATTTTTCATCAAGCAGGGCAGTTGGTGTATGTGAATGTTGTTTCCTTTTTTAGTTCAGAATCCCTCATTTCCCCCCTAATTTGCTTTTCTTTTTTTAATATTAAAAGACTTTCCTGAAAGTAATGGGAAGGAAAAAAGCCCTATTTGGAAATTCTAAGCCACATACTTCTCATTTATATCAGATGTTAGACCACTTCCTCTTTTAAGCCACACCACACTGCTTTTCTTTTCTTTCCTTTTTTTTTTTTTTTTAAATAAATTTTTGTTAGAGGGTGCTTGTACTCAATGAAAAGAAAGAGAAGGAAAGGGACCAGCAGTTGGCATAATGGCTATGTCGTTGCACTCCCATGTAGTCGACTGCAGTTTGAGCCCCAGACCCCGTGGCTTAAACTCACACCAGGCGCATGTGCGTGCATGCCTAAGATCCTGAGAGGAGAATGGAGAAGGGATTGCAGTGTGGCCATCCCCCTTGGAGGGTGATTTCTCACTTTCTTTTTGTCTCTCTCTGTCTTTCTGGCAAGTACACACGATCTATAGCAAAAAACTTCTCTTAAAAAAAAAAGAAAAAGGAAAGCAAGAAAACATTCTCTGTAATGAGGAATGGCCATGCTGCAGTCCATTCTCCACCAGTTATCTTTCCTCTTGAAATTTTTGGGAATGCACAACATACTCCCAGTGGGAGCCATTGGTTTTGGGACTTGAACCACACAATTGGCCTGGTGAGATCCAGCTTCCTTGACCACTACACCATGGTCTGGCCCACTTTTTTGTCATTTTTGTTTTTAAACTAATAACAGTTCTTTTTCTTGTTTCTAAGTATCATAGAGTCCTAGTTTGATTTCCAGGTTTAGAGTTTCAACTTTGGAGTCCTGGTAATGGGGATTTAATCCTGGCTGTTTTATTAGCTATTTGAGTTTGAGAGGATCACTAGGAATTGGCATAATTGTGATCGTCCTAAAGGTTTCATTATTGTAGCAGTAGTCGTGGTTTTGTTATGGAAATGTCTCCTGATTTTATCAGATTTTGAAGTTGAGAAAAAAATTTGCCATATCTACATTTCTCTGCTCTAATGATTTGAAACTAAAAGTGAAAAAGGCTTCTTTTGGTTCGAGAATGTGATGTTGGAGAAAGGCCAATGGTCTATATGTGTGTGTTGTATGCCTCAACTATAGTCCCTTTAAGACCAGATCTCTAGAAAACCTGGTCTCTCCAACCAGGGCAGCCTTTGCCGAGCTGTTTCCGTGGGTTTTGTGGTCTGGTGATGTGTACATGATGACCATTTGGAGAAAGCGAGCCCTTGTAGCAGGAGGCTAGCCTCTCTGGAACCTCACTGTTAGTTTCAATACTTTCTCCAGAAAACACAGGGAGCTTGGCACTGGGGGTTGTAAGACCAGATGAAAATTAATTGGAAAATGTTCTGGAAAGCAGTTCTTTTAAGTGGGTCCTTTAATACTGGGTCACTCTATTCTTAGATATTTTCCTTTTTTTGATGAAAACCTTTTAACCTTTATACTAACATAGTGTATTGTCTTAATGTAGGAGCACATCCGTAGAAGGTGCCAGGAATTATTTGGAATTTGAAGAATTAACTGTGAGCCAGCTCCTCCTTTGCCTAAGGGAAGGAAACCAGAAAGTGGAGAGACTTGAAATTGCACTGAAGGAAGCCAAAGAAAGGTATGTAAGAGATTAACTTGAAATGTGCATACCTCATTGATTTTTTAAAAATAATTATTTTATTTAACTCTCTTTCTTTCCTTCCTTCCTTCCTCCCTCTTCCTTCCTCCTTCTTTCTTTCTTTCTTTCTTTTCTCTCTCTTTCTTTCTTTCTTTCTTTCTTTCTTTCTTTTCACTTGACCAGAGAGAGAGAGAGAGAACGTGAGAAAGCAAGCCGCCAGTTCTGGGACTTGAACTACAGTTGGCCATGTGGGAGAACTACAGTCGGCCATGTGGGAGTCGAGCACCCTTAACCATCATGCCACCTGCCTGCCCCTGAAAACCTTATTTTTTAGACTTTATTGAAATACTAGAGTCTATACAACTTGCCCAATCAGCCCTCCTGCCTGCCCCTGAAAACCTTATTTTTTAGACTTTATTGAAATACTAGAGTCTATACAACTTGCCCAAAGACATGTTTCATTTTTTTTTAATATAATATATATTTAAATATATAATATAATTATATATTTCCATTCATAAGGTTGTGCAACCATTACAAGAATGTAGTTTTTTTAGAGAATTATTGTATTTAACATTTATTTATTTGGTTTAAAATTTGACCAGAAAGGGGAAGAGCAAGAAGGAGAGGGAGGAAGAGGGAGAGGGAAGTGAGAAAGTAAACTGCCAGGCCTAGGATTCGAGCCATTGTTGGCCATGTGGGAGTCCAGCACCCTTAACCACCACACCACTTACCAGCCACTACAATAGTAAAGTTTTAAAATATTTTTCTTGGGACCAGAAAATTGCATAGTTGTTATATTTCTGGACTTCCACATGGGTGACCATGGTTTGAGTCCTGAACCCCATGGCTTGAAACTCTTGCCAGGTATGTGTGTATGCACGTCCAAGATCCTGGGAGGAGACGGGATTGTAGCGTAGCTAGGGGGTGATTTCTTACTTTCCCTCTCACTGTGTCTGTCTGTCTCTTTCTGGTAAGTACACACACCATAAGGCAAACACTTCTTAAAATGTATATATATTTTTTTCACCCAAATAGGAAACCCATTAACACTCACCATCCCCTCCTCCCAGTGATCTGTTTTCTGCCTCTGTAGATTTGTCCATTCTGGACATTTCATGTAAATGGAATGATAATAATGTGGTCTTTTGTGACTGACCTCTTTTGTTAGTAGCAAAAATTAATATTTTATTAATTTTTAAATGAAAGTTATAAAACAAATTAAGATAATTTTAGAGAAAAATCATTTCATAATCCAATGTTATTATACACCTGTTTTCACTTTTACATATTGGCTTCCATTTCTTTTAGTTGTTTAGCTGTCATCGTAGATATTTTACATTGTTTCTTTCAGTTAACTTTATAGCATCAGCTTGTTGTTGAGGTTCATCCACAGTGTAGCATGTGTCAGTCCTTCATTCCTTTCTGTTGCTGAGTAACAAACAGTCCAGTATATAGATATGCAGCATGTTGTTTATTCATTCATCAGTCACTGAACATTTAAGTTGTTTCTACTTTTTGTCTGTTAAAAGTAATGCTGCTGTTAACATTTGTGTACAGGTTTTTGCTTGAACATTTGTTTTTCATCTTCTGAGAGATGTACATAGGTGTGGGTCTTATGGTAACTACATTTAATATTCATTTTTTTTTTTTGGAGAGGTTTTTGCTATGGTGTGTGTATGCTCACCAGAAAGACAGAGAGAGACAGAGAGACAGAAAGCAAGAAATCACCCCCAGGGGGGATGGCCATGCCGCAATTCCTTCTCCATTCTCCTCTTGGGATCTTGGGCACACCTGCACACGCACCTGGTGAGAGTTTAAGCCACAGGGTCTAGGACTTGAACCGTGGTCAACTACATGGGAGTCCAGTGACATAGCCATTATGCTGCCTTCTGGTCCCGCATTTAATATTCTTGAGGAACAACCAAACTGTTTTTCAAAGCAGCCACAATTCCCAGCTACAGTCCATTTTTTTTTTTTTGAGAGGTTTTTACTATAGGGCTCATGCGCTCGACAGACAGAGACAGACAGAGAGATAGAAAGCGAGAAATCATCCCCCCCACCCCCCGGGGGATGGGTACAATGCAATCCCCTCTCCTCCATTCTCCTCTTGGTATCTTTGGCACGCATGCACACATACCTGGCGTGAGTTTAAGCCACCGGGTCCGGGACTCGAATCATGGTCGACTATGTGGGAGTCCAGCGACATGGCCATTATGCTTACTGCTGGTCCCCTGCAGTCCATTTTTTATAGTCTTTTTTGTCTTTTGCTATAGGGCGTGTGCACTCTATGGAGAGACAGAAAGCAAGAAATCCCCCCCCCCAGGAGTGATGGCCATGCCAAAATCTTTTCTCCTCCATTCTCTTCTTGGGATTTTGGTCATGTATGTACACATGCTGGTCCTGGGATTCGAACTACGGTTGGCCATGTGGAAGTTCAGTCACATAACCATTACACCATCTGCTGGTCCCAACCAGCTACAGTTCTTGTATTCTCAACTACAGTATATGAGTATTCCACATTCTCCACATCCATACCAACACTTGTTATCATCTGTTGTTTCAATTTTAGCCATCCTATTAGATATCATTGTGGTTTTGATTTATATTTTGCTACTGATTAATGATGTTGAGCATCTTTTTATGTTGACCTTTTTTGTATCTTCTTTAGAGAAATATATATTCAAGTCTAGCATCTATTTTTAAAAGTTGTGATGTCTTTTTATTATTGACTTGAGTTCACTTTGTATTCTAGATACAATTCCCTTAATAAATATATGATTTGTAAATATTTTCTCTTATTCTATAGGTTATTATCCTATAGGGCATCTTTCCATTTTTATTTTTTATAATGATATCATTTTGCTGTACAACTTTTCTTTATATTGATATAATCCAATTTATGTCTTATTTTTCTTTGGTCATATGTGTTCTTAGTGTTGTATCTAAGAAACCCTTGCCTAACCCAAGGTCACCAAGATTTACTTCTGTGTTTTCTTTTAAGAATTTTATAATCTTAACTCTGACACGTCTATGACCCACTTTGAGATAATTTTTGTGTGTGATGTGATATAGAAGGTCAAAATCATTAGACCTTTAATTCTGTTCCATTGGTTTATAGGTCTGTCCTAATGCTGATACCATGCTATTTTTATTATTATGGTTTTGTACTAAGTTTTGAAATGAGGAGATGTGTGAGTCCTTTAACTTTATTCTTTTTCAAGACTGTTTTGGCTATTCTGGGTTCATGGTGAGTCCAGATGAATTTTAAGTTCAACTTGTTAATTCTTAAAAAATAAATAAATAAAATAATAAAGGAAGAAAAAAAATAAAAAACACCTGGAATTTTATTAGGGATTGCATCAAATCTGTAGATCAGTTTTAGTATTGCCATCTTAACGATATCCTAATCCTTGAACATTGAGTCTTTTCATTTATCTGTGTCTTCTTTAGTTTCTTTCAATGATGTTTTTTATTTTCACCATATGGATTTTGTACTTTTTTGTTGACTTCCTAGGTATTCTGGTCTTTTTGATGCTGTTGTAAATAGAATTATTTATTGCTGCTATATAGAAGTACAACTGATTTTTTCATATTTATCTAATATCTTGAAAATTTTCTGAAGTTTATTAGTGGTAATAATTATTTAGATGAAAATCATTAGGATTTTCTCTAAACAAGATTGAGTCATGTGCAAATAGAGATAGTTTTGCTTCTTCCTTTCTCATCTGAATGCCTTTTCTTTCTTTTTCTTGCCTGAACGTCCTAACTAGAACATCTACTACAGTGTTAACTAGAAGTTGATAAAGCAGGCATCCTTGTTTTATTCTTTTTAAAAAATATTTATTTAAGTTTATTTATTTATTCATTTTTAATTTGACCAGAGAAAGAACCACAGAGAGAGAAAGTGAGAAAGCAAGCCACCAGGTCCAGGACTTGAACTGTGGTTGGCCATGTGGGAGTGTCTAGCGCCTTAGCCACCATGACACCTGCTGGTCCCCCCTTGTCTTATTCTTAATCTTAGAGGAAGAGCTTATTCTTTCCCATTAAGTATATTTATATATTTTTTTGGCGGGGGGGGTGGGGAGCGGAGGTTTTTGCCATAGGGCGCATGCACTCACCAGAAACACAGACAGAGACAGAGAGACAGAAAAGGGGAAATCTCCCCCTGGGGGGATGGCCGCGCGGCATTCTCTTCTCCTCCATTCTCCTCTCAGGATCTTGGACACGCACGCACATGTGCCCGGTGTGAGTTCAAGCCACTGGGTCTGGGACTCGAGCCGTGGTCAACTACATGGGAGTGCAGTGACATAGCCATTATGCCAACTGCTGGTCCCCACCATTAAGTATATTACCTGTGGGTTATACATAGATGCCTTTGTTAGGTTGAAAAGTTCCCTTCTATTCTTAGTTTGTCTTAATTTTTATCGATGAGAGGATTTTGAATTTTTTTTCTGTTTATGTGGAGATGGTCATAGAGGATTTTTTTCAAAATTAATGTGGTATATTGCATTAATTGAGTTTTGAATGTTCAGCTAACCTTGCACTCCCATGATAAAACATATTTGATCATGGTGTATAGTACTTTTTATATCTTGCCAGATTTGGTTTGCTAGTGTTTTATTGAGAGTTTTTGCATGTACATTTATAAGGGATATTGGTCTGTAGTTTTCTTTTCTTGTAATGTCTTTGTAATGAGGCCTGGTAATACTGGCTTCATATAATGAGTTGGAAGGTGGTTCCTACTATTGTGTATATATGTGCCTTAAAAAAATTATTTATTTAATTTTATTTATTCATTTATTTATTTTAATTTGACTAGAGAAAGACAGACATACAGAGAGAAGAAAAGTGAGAAAGCAAACCACCAGGTCCAGGATTCGAACCATGGTCAGCCATGTGGGAATGCTGCGTGCTTTAACCACCACGGTACCTGCAGGCCTTATATATGTCTTTTTAAAATGTCTGGTGGACTTTTGTGTTTTGATACACCTGCAGCA